GGTCAGCCTCTGCGCTCAGCACTTCTGCAGCCACAGCACCAGGGGCTGCCGCTGCGGTCACAGCACCCTGGGTACTCAGGGTAAGGGTCCCCAGTGACAGGGCTACGGGGTTGTTACTCCTGGTTATGCTGGGCTACAGCAGAGGGATGATCTTTGTCCAAAACCTCTCCGGGGAGGGGATAGCATTCGCATGGGGTCTGAGTAGAGCTGTCCCCTTCATCTGGGAGCCCTAACTGTGCAGCCTTGTGGCAGATGAGACCAGCCCTTGGAGCCTGGTGCCCCTGCCTCCCCTTCCCACGGGGTGCAGCCAGCCGGGCACCGGCAGAGCTGTGAGCTAGATGGGGGGGTGTCACAGTTCTCCTGGGCCATGCTGCCTCTGCTCGCAGCACTCCTGCCGGGAGATGCAAGCGGCTGCGGCTGCCAGCCATGCATCGTGGCACGAGAGGGCGGCAGTGAGGTCTGCACAGGGTCCTGTGGCTAGGAAAGGGGGTGCGGGCCATGGCAGGATGCTGCTGGTGGACATCGGGGCAGCAGGGATGCAGGAGTGGAGGGATGCAGGAACGTGATGCTTGTAGGGGCTGAGGGCAGGGGACCTGTCTTTGGCCCAGGACATATCTTCCATTGACCCCAGCGTGAGCACTGGATCATCCCCTGAGTCTTGTGCATTCCCTGCTCCCCCTGCCTTCCCTGTTGGGTGGGACTAGACTGGGCTCAAGGCAGGGTGCTTGGCACAGCACACTTGGACCCAGCCGCATCGTTGTTCTCTGTGCGCTGGCTGCTGGGCTGGCAGCGCAGCACTGGGGAGGTGCTGCACGCATGCTCCCCAGCTGCCAGGCACTGGCCTGAGCCAGAGAGGACGCCGCCAGTCCTCTGGCCTCTGCTGTACGTGCATGGCGGTGTCTGCCTGTCCTCCCTCCCCCTCCTCGCTCCGCTCTGGTGGTGGGCTCTCTGTGGGTGCGTGACAGTCCAGAGGCTCATGCTTGTGAGCACATGTTCATGCAGACCATGTCCCCACACCTACTGCCTGCCCCCCTCCCCAGACAGTCCCTGGGTCTGCCTCCTCTGGGGCAGTGCTCCTGTTGCTTTGCTCTTGCTGTTTTCCATAGCATGCAGAAGTGGCCCAGGGTGTGCATTAGGAATGTGCGGGGTCTTACCCACTGACACCCCCCAAAACTTGTCTTGTGGTAACTGGGCAGGATGAGCGCGTGTGGGACAAGCACAGGGTGCAGAAGGGGCTGGGACTGTCATGTACCTGGCTGCCCTCCCCCTTTCTCCTGGTTGTGCCACCATGAATGGCTGGTAACCCCGTCTCTGTCTCTCTCTGTGTCCCTCCAGGATCTCACCTCAACACCAAACCACTGAACTCCACACACGTTCTGACACATACCTGAGAAGAGAGGAGAGGAGAGGAGAGGAAAGAAGAGAGTGGAGGGGAGCAGGGCTGGCTGTACATGTTTCTATAGGCTAATGGCATGATTTCTGTATGAGACATACTTACCGTCCTATCCGCATGACTGACTGACTGCAAGACGCATGAGCTACAGTACTTAAATCTGACGGAGGGGCCTCCGTCCCTGCCCCGCTGCCGCCAGGAGCCCAGAGACAGCAGCACGCACCAGGGGCATCCTCTCAGCTCCTCTGGGAGTCAAGAGATGGACTGGCAGAAACCGAGAGGGAAGGCGACTTACCCCTCGCGCGTCTGCGTGCGTAAATGCATCCCCACGCCCGTGCTCCAGCTGCAAGAGGGAAGCTGGGGCAGCACGGCGCCGCTCACCGTGGAAGGAGAGGGGCTCGCCCCCCCCATCGCCTGTGCTGCCTCCGCTGGACTCGCTTCTCATCCCTCTCAGTGAGTGTGGGGTTATGGGGAGGGCAGCAGTTGCCCAGGGGGGGTGCGAGGTGAGGGTTGCAGGGAGCCCTGGGCAGAGGGGCTGGTGCAGAGCTGCCCTTCCTCTCCCCAGCACGTGCAACGCCTCCCACCAGGGCAGGGCTCTGGGCTGAGCACTGAGCTCGTTGCTTGTGTTGAAAGTGTAAACTGTACAGCAATCAGCCTTGTGTATATGAACCAATAAATACTATGCAAACCCCTAGGGACACTCTAGCAGTATGTACAAAGCACTAACAGCTCTGCTCCCAAATACCTCTTTCAGGCTGCAGGACGGGCAAAACCTTTGGAGTATGTGAGCAGCTCTGGTGAACGGAGCTGGGAGGCTATAGGAGTAAAAGGGCAGCAGAGTGCCCCTGCCCTGCACCCCTCCGCTGAGCCTGGTCCCTTCCTGGCCTGAGGAGAGGGGCCCACGGGTGCAGTCCCATGGGCCTGTCCATGGTGCAAGCCCCACTTTGTGCTTGCTCCGGCCGGGGTGAAGGTGCAGGCCTGCGCTGAGGTGCTTGGGGCCCAGGGACAGCGGGTAGTGAGACAGAGCAGGGGATGCTTGTGCCACGCACGGGGTTGTGCCTAGCTCTACTCAGCACAATATCTGCTCAGGGGATGAGCCAGGAGCTGGCAGGAGCCAGCAGCCCTGCCCTATGCGCCCCATGCAAGGGCTGTGCAGGGTCCCCTGGCCTCCCTGCAAGGGCACAAATGAGCGTAGCCCGTTGACCCCGCGGATGCTGACCCTCCCAGGACCAACCCCAGAGACGCGGGGGGCTGCTCCCCTGGTGACTTTCACTTTGGCCAGGTGAAACGCCCTGCCGCACTAGCCTGGACCAAGCCGTCACCCTGGGAGCTGGGGCAGCCCTGGGGCCGGCTGCTCTAGCAGGAGCAGTGAGGGGCAGAGCTAGAGCTGCCCAGGCAACGCTGAGGTGCGCAGCAGGTTGGCTCTGCTACGATACTTGTCCCCAGGAGGGCTGGATGCAGGTAGTGGCATGTCCCCGACTCCGTCCTTTTCCCAGCCAGTGTGGGGGCCTGGTCTTTGTAGCACAGTGGTGTGGGGACCCACTGCTCTTTCCCCTGGAGGTGGCCTTGGACCTGCTTCACAGGACCTGAGTGTGCTCTCTCTGGCCATGTGCAGAACAAGTCCACCTCCAGCTTCAGGCTGGTGGCCCTGGCAGGGCAGCCCTGTCTTGCAGTGGGTGTGCGTCTGCCAGGAAAGCCCCTGGCTCCCCTGCAGTTGGGAAGAAGCCTAGCTGCAGCGAAGCAAATGACCCAGCTTAGCCTTGGAGAGCAAAGCAACCTCTTCCCCACCCCCCAAAGTTGAGCCATATAGGCACAGACTCTCCATCCGTCACCCTTGCTGTGTACAATAACCTCCCTAGACCCACTGCGACAGCTGACTCCGTAGCATCACCGTAGAGTTGTGTGTGGGTCCCGTGCTTTGGCCTTGTATACGCCTTACGGAATGTGCTGTGCTGCAGCCGTGCCAGGCGCCTGCAGTGACATTGCTTTGCGCTCAGATTGCTCGTAGGGCTGGTAGGGGGAGGCTGCACCCGACATTGAGCCTAGAGAATGCTGCAGTCTGCACACTAGAAGCTTTTTAGAAGTTTTAAATATTACTTTTATTTCCTTTTTTTAATTGTTATGGAAACAAGCCTTTTGGATCTTCCTGTCTTAGCCCCTGATGTATAGATCATTCCCTGTACACCAGCTGTCAGACTATGAATTAATAAAGAAACCAACACAGACCGTGCCTCATCTCTCCTTTTCCAAGGGTGGGGGCAAGAGTGGGGCTCCGGGCTGGGCGGCCGGGTGGGGGTCCCCTCTGCCCGTCCCCGTTGCCGGGAGGGCAGCCCTGGGC